GGTGGTGGAGCCCGAGGTGGAGACGGAGAGTCAAAGAGCCAGGGCGACGGGGAGGATCCGGACGGCCAAGGCAGAGCAGATGGCTCCAGGAACCGAGGCGGGGATCCGGAAGGCCACGGTAGAGTCGGAGTGACAGAGGACCAAGGTGGAGCTGGAGGGAAGGAGGAGCCTGACAGAGCCAGAGGGACAGAGGGACGAGGTGTAGCCGGAGGAGGGGAGTCCCGAGGCGGCGGATGGTCAACGACAGACCAAGGCGGAGCCGGAGGGACGAGGAAGCCCGGCGGAGCTGGTGGACTGATGGACCATGGCGGAGAGGCGGGAGCTAGGAGCCATGGTGGAGCCGCTGGGTCGAAGGGCCGAGGCGGAGTCCGGGACTCAGAGGCTGGAGGTGGAGACAAGGAATCCTCCAGCCACAACGCCGATGGAGACTGGCAGACCCGCGGCGATCCCACCCTCACAGATTGTGGACTGAGGGTGCGCTGAGGGGCTGCCAGGAGACAGCGGAGGCGATGGTGAGGACTGATACAGAGGAGTTGGGAGAGGGAGGCTGGGCGGGAGTTCAGAATGCTCAGGAGGATTTGACATGGTGTGTGCTGCCCACACACACACACACACACCATAAGGCCACTTCCAGCACCGTGAGCTCCAGCGACAGGGGAACGACCACCATGGTCATTATAGTACAGGCAGATAGTTCAGGTCAGACAAAATATTTCCAGACTGACAAGACAGTTCAAGGCAGACAGTTCAAATACGACCTCCGTGGTCGATTCAGGACAGACCGAAGATTCAATCACAACCTCCGTGGTTGTGACGGGACAGACAGATGATGATGGCGGGAGAAGACAAGGCATATCCGCATATATATTAATGTCCTCTGAGCGCAGCCTCAGCTCACCCCTAGCGGTGGTGCAGTGGGCGGGGCATTCCTCCGTGCCTTCGCTCCTTACTGACACTTCCACCGTCGCATGTCTAGCAGCCAGCATGCGCACCTGGACTGATGTCGATTGAGGCTCTGGCTCCGGGGCGATCCTCAGCTCTGTCGCTCTCCTAGGCGATGGCTCGTCAGTCGCGGCGGGCTTTGGCTCTCCGTCAGCGGTGGGCTCAAATTGTAGCTCCATGGTGCAGGGTGGTGGTAGGCTGGGCTCTGGGTCGACCATAATAACTCAAAAGGAAAACTTAATAAAAAAAACAAAACGCGGGGAAACACGCTGCATTACTTTCACTTTTAGTCCGGTCTTCAGTCACAGCTACGGTGAGATAAAAGCACGAAGAAGATGCAAATGCAAATAGTCTTTAATAAATCCACACAAGGGTAAATCCAGGACAGAACAGGCAGGAGACACACGTAGGGACGTAGACAGGACGAGGGAACACAGGACTGAACACAACTATATACTGAAGAAAATGAAGATAATTAACGACACACACCTGAACTAAATGACACAATCAAACATGCGGGAAAACTGGGTCACACAGAGCACATGAGGGATGAAGACAACAAAACAGTTCAAAGGGATGTGACAATAGTGTTTTGGAACCAAAAGTTAACGATTTACTTACTACTGTCACACTACGGTGAGATACACGCACGAAGGCGGCGAAGATAGATGCAAATAGTCTTTACTATTCCACAATAGGGCAAACACAGGACAGACAGGCAGGATGAACACGTAGGGACTAAGTAGACCGGACAACAAACAGAGAACAGAACACTACTAATATAAACTAATATAGTGGAGCAAATGAGGATAATTAACCAGACATGCCTGAACTAAATGACACAATCAAACATGAGGGAAAACTGGGTCACACATAGCACATGAGGGATGAAGACAACAAAACAGTTCAAAGGGATGTGACAATAGTGTTTTGGAACCAAACTCTTCATAAATAAAAACATTGTATTATAACATTTATAATATTAATAATAATATGATAAAATATTAAAATAATGAATATTAATGAAATATTAATACAAATATTTTCTCATTACTATAGTAAAAAGGTATCCACACATACACTGTAATAGGCAATTTTGTGTTGCATATATTTATAATTTGCACTAAATGCTATATACATATTCATATTAATATACATATATAAGTAATAAACATAAAAATAAATGATAAGAAATATATAATTTCATTTATGATTATTTATTTATTATATGTGTATATGTATTTAATTAAAAAGTATATATTTACTTATTTTAATATGACCTCACAAAACCTGTCAAGAAGGAGTACAGGTCATATTTTACAAACAAACAAACAAATAAAGTACATACTTCTCAGAAACATGATGCAAAAAAGTTTTTGTTTGTGTATATTATTAAAGATTGTGGGTATATAAGCATATAGATTTCCCATTAAATTAACAACAAACAACAACAACAACCACCACCACAATAATAATAACAACAATACTACTACTACTACTAATAATAATAATACTAATTGTTATTATTATTATTATTATTAGTGTTGTTGTTGTTTATTATTATTATTATTATTATTATTATTATTACACATTATGACAATCATTAACATTATTATCTATTAATATCAATTATTACAGTATTTATTATTATTATTCTTTTTTTTTAATTTGAGGTACAGTATGAACCATGTTGTTCCTGTCTTCATGAGATTCAGCGCATCTAGAATATTGTTGTTGTTTTTTGACAGACCTCAGAGCAGGGGATCATCTCAAACTTCCCTGTCAAAAACATATTGGCTCATATACATAGATACGAGTCACACGCTCTTCTGTGCACATCTCTGTGCGCTCCTTTCTTTTCTTCACACAAACTCCAAGTCATCTGAGAGCCCTCAAAATGGAGTCTCATCGGTACCCCAACGCAGAACGAAATCAATAGTGGTGTCGGATGAAAAGCCCAAAATAAATACTGCATGCTGGGCAATATTGTATGAAAAAAAGCAAATGTTAAAAAAAGTAGCAAGCAGCAGCCTTTATGCCATTCCAAACACTGATCCAGAGTCAGTGAAGTGGACACCTTTGTGCACGGAGAGTGCAGCACTGAATTAGTCTGCTGGAGCGGAGCCGCAGAGGGTCATCCGGGGCAAAGAGAAGCACGCGGCTGATGCTGCTGGTCTGGTAAAAAGCCCTGTATTCTGGCTAGCCTTGTTTAGCAATGCAAGGCGATTCTCCATGGAGGCTGTGTGCTCAGCACCAACAGTCACCCCTGCAATGTACAGGGCACACACACTTTTTTTTTTTTTTTTTGCTTTTACTGTATAAGACTGTCAAGGTAGACAGGAAAGTTACAAAATACAAGAGAAAAAGAACCTTGTAAGAACTGGATGTTTCAATGAACAAAAATAAATTAAAACAATCTTCATATAACTTTATGATCTTACATGGAGCAGTGGACAACTATGTGAATAATATCATAATGTCATTAAATTAAACCTATTTTTTTCCCCAAGAGTAAATTGTAATTTATATCTCAATATGTATCTAATTAAAAAAAAACTACACTGTAACACTGTTTTGATTTCATATAAGTAACTATGTCACTGTTTTACAAAAACAAGCATACATACATATATTTGTTCAACATTTTTGGTGTCAGGAAGATTTATAAAAAAAATAAATAAATAATGCTTTTATTCAGCAAGGACACATTAAATTAATCAAAGTGACAGTAAAGACATTTATAATGTTACAAAAAGGTTATATTTAAAACAAATGCTGTTCTTTTGAACTTTCTATTCAAATGATCTTGGGAAAAAATATCATGGTTTCTACAAAAAATATTATACAGCATACTGTTTTTAACATAATAAGAAATAGTTCTTAAGCAGTAAATCAGCATTTTTGAATAATTTCGAAAGGATCACGTGGCACTGATCACTGGAGTACTGATGCTGAAAATTCAGCTTTAAAATCACAATTATAAATTCCATTTTAAAATGTATAAAATAGAACACATTTTAAATTGTAATAATATTTCACAACATTACTGTTTTTACTGTATTTTTAATCAAATACATGCAGCTTTGTAAGCATGAGAGACTATCAAAAACATTTTTTAAATCTTATCGACTTTTGAATCACAGTGTAACTACTTAAAATATTTAAGGACCAAGCAATAAATATTCTGCAGTTATCATTTCAAACAATTATGAATTATGAATGAAATTGAAATTAGTTTCTAATTACTTCAGATGATACAGAATTTTCAATTAATTTTCAAAAACTAGCAGAAAAACTTCCAATTATTACATCTGGCTAAACCCATCGAGGGGTCAAAGTGGTTAACTGACAGAAGAAATGACTAAAATAAAGATTTCAAACTGATAGTTTGCAACTGCGGCTCTCTGATCAGTCAGATAGATGTGCTTTGCCTTGCACTGCTGCCAAGAAAACAAAAGAATCCCAAAATCTCCATATATATCCATAATGAGAAGACCTTCATTAATATGCATACCGACAGAAAGAGCATAGAACAAAGGAATGCTTTAGATCAACTCACAGAAGAAACCCTAATTATGAAAAATTATTGAAGAATTGCCCATAATTATACTCTTAATTATGCACACTCACAAAAAAAAAAGAAAAACATTACAGAGAGTATTGAACGCATCCTAGTTTCCAAGAGCATGACACTATTAATATACATCTGGCTGGAAAAATTGAGATACGCCCTATTTATCTGATCCACCGGTTGTCAGTCTAGATTTAGAGCAGGTTCTGGATACTGAATCTTCAAATCTAATTCCCCCGAGAAAAAGATAGAAACACGTTTCGCTTCGGAATTACAAGCAGGACAAGTGCGTGATGAATGAGACACTTAGCATGATATGGCTCAAACAAACTGGCACCATCCGAAGGGAATATATTGGAATGTGAGTAAAGTGCAGTAAGTTGTCGGTTACACTTACAGTAGGACTGTACAGTAGTTGCATGTATGTTGAATATCATCGAGCTATTCTCTTTTATGTTGTTCATCACTTCATATTAGAAAAACTCACTTGAATCCATTTGTCGGGAATAGCCATGGCCAGGCGATAGTCGAAACCCAGACCTCCTTCTTGGACTGGACGGCAAAGGGTGGGCATACCGGACACATCCTTAAAAAATAAAGAATTTCTTAAAAACACAACAATATGTAGAGGTTAGATTTACAGTACTGTTAAAGGAATAGTTCACCCTAAAACGAAAATTTGCTCTCTCGGGTTATCCAAGACGATGAGTTTGTTTCTTCATTAGAACAGATTTGGAAAAATTCAGCATTACATCACTTGCTCATCAGCTGTTTGTGGACCCTCATTCCAGAGGTGGGAGTAAGTCACACATGTGCAAGTCACAAGTAAGTCTCAAGTCTTAACCTTCAAGTCTCAAGCAAGTCCAAGTCAATTTTTGTGAGAATCAAGCAAGTCAAGTCAAGTCACTGCTTTGTCACTTCGCAAAAGATGGATAAAAAGGTGCACATGAAACAAAAACCTTGAAAAAATTATATACGACCCCACCAAATCACAGAGATGCCGATTCGCACGGGACTAATATTACCACAGGACCTCGGTGTTCGACGAAATACAGTAGGTCATTTGTGGGGGAATTTTTACTTTACAAATTACAGACATGGCCGATTCGCACGGGATTAAGATCACAGACAACCTCCGCAATTATTACAAATGACTGGAGGTCACCAGGTAATACTAATCCCGTGCCAATAGGGCTTATGCCACCAAATGGCATTCTTCAAACAGGCATCACCTTTATGGGAAATGAACACATCCTTAAGTTAGATCCTTCCTTTTTAAGAAAAGAATAACAACAAGAAAAAATATTAATAATTGAATCACACAAACCTTGCTATTTCTGAGTGAATGTGTGTGCGCGTGTATGAGTGAAAGTGTATTGTTTGTTTGCATGTGCATGCAAAGCTTGCAAATTTGAGGTTTTTGTTGTTGTTTTGTTTTGTTTGTTTGTGTATGCATGGTTGGGTTTGCAAGTCTGCATGATTTTTTTCTTTCTTTCTGTGCGTGTATGTATGCGTATACAATATATTTATGTGCATCCCCATAAACTATCCACAAGCTTTTCACTCAAAGTCTAACACTGAAGACCAATTATTAGACACTGTACACATGCATATACTAAGTGCTATTACCAAAAAAAAAAAAAGCTGAAATTTCCTTA